TTCGAAACCGGGCGGAAACACATTTTTAATTTTTTACTGTCAAACTTAAAATCAGAGAAAGAAGGACTCTATACGCCGTTGGCAAACTCCACTTAACAGGCTCCCCAACTCTGCTTCATATATTCAATGATTAATCCAAACAAACCGCTCACAATTCACCTGTTCTCAGGCGGTGTTCCTTATGCTCTTGTTTATAGCTACATATCAGCAATAGTGTCTCAAAAACAGGTGACAAATGTGAAACAGAAAGCTCAGAAGTTACGGTTAGCAGAATACCACTGCCAGGCGTGTCTAATTGTGTGACATTAGTCTATTTATGATGCTTTGCAACAGCATTTCTTATCTCCTCACTTGCAGGTTTGCTCAGTTGTAGAAGTTGAAAGCTCCATAAAGAGGTTGCATAGGATCTTATGATTACAATGATCCAAAAATGTGCAATTATGTTTGTCTGTATTAATAAATACAATTTAAGCATCCCAAATCTAAATATCTAAATAATGTCCTGCATTTAAATCACTGGTCACTGAAAACTATAGAGAGAGAAATTATTAAACTCTTCTCTAAGCACACTCATTTTCTAGAAAGTGATTAAACAGATAGGACACCTTCTAACACACACCTCCAAAGGAGAGAATAAGATTATAGGCACACACACTTGAAGAAACAGACTCACAAATGATTTTTTAACGATAACAGTGTTTTATTTGCTTGGTTTAGCAACTGTACATGTGACTCCTTCCTGAGAAAACCGCTCACCTCAGGGGAGAGGGAACAGTGGAATGGAGACAGAATCAGAGAGGGAGGAGAGGAAGACGAAGCTGAAGGGAGGGATGGTAACGAAGGCGGGAGAAGAGAGGGAATAAAAAAAAGGTATAAATAACTCCAGTGGAGGGAGGTAGAAAGACAGGGAAAGAAAACAGGAGGACTGCTGGAGGATAGATAGAGAGCAAATATGAACAAGGCCTACTGTAGTTTTATAAAAGTCCAGTAGGTTAATTAACTTTCAGTCCAGTTAGTTGTAAATGAAACTGTAATTCACCCCCTAATAAAGACTAACAGACTATTATCAATGTATCATATTGTACTCTGAATATGAACCAGAATTTATTGAAAAAGTGTCCCTGAAGATCCAATTCCTGGATCGACTAAACTGAAGGAAATCTGACAGAAGGGGGGGGTCTCTAACTGAAAGCCTGCACTGCATCTTGTTGAGTGAACATTAACGTGAAGATAAATAAGATAGGAGGAACCGACAACACGACCGATGCAACAACAAAATTTGGCTTCAATATACAAAGCAAGAAAAAAAGTTTTTTTTTTTTTTTTTTTACAGTTTTGAAGAAAAGAATGGAAAAACGACTGCTGCTAAAAAAATGTTGTTGGATTGTTAGGTGAGCCAATATCAGAGCATTTTGGGTGAAATGTTCATTTTTTTTTAGTCAATTGCAGTTCATTTGGCACAGGTTTAGCACCTCCACTGTAACTCAAAGACCTCCCTCCCTTCACTTCCCCTCCCCCGTTGTCCCCTTCCCTTATTCACTAACAACTCATGCCTCAGAAACGTGTTAAAAATATAGCTTCTTTGTATATTTACTATCTAAGTTAACTTAAAAAAAAGTGGCCTGTGACATTAACTTTGTTCTTCTTTTTTTTATGCCGTCTCTTTGATGCCTGAGATAAAGAGATCTAGAGAGAAGATGAAAAAAAACAGATGAAAATATGAGGAGCTGTAAATCAATACGTTTTTGAGAGACATACTGTAAGAGTCAAGGCTGGAAATAGCAATAATAACAACAATAATTAATAATGATATAAAAGCATGTTTAAACAACATCATCATCATATCATTTTCCTCATCCTGGCTCTTCAGTTCCAGTTGTTACATCCTGCATACGTGGAGAGCGGTTAGTCGTGTTCGTGTGGCGGATTTCGGTGCGTCCGTTCACCGAGAATATCTCTGCAGTCCTTCAAAGCGAGCCTCTGAAACCTTTGTTTGATTCACTTAAAGATTAAAAAGTAGTAATGGATGATTTTTAAAAAAAACTCATCATTGAGGATACGTGATTGAGGAGGGGTGGGGAGAAAAAGAGCGTTTCTCTGGATACAAAAAGCAAATAATGCAACAAAAAGGTACAAAACAACACAATATTGACCAAAACGTGACGGTCGCCAGAGAAGAAAAAGGAAAGCGATGATTTTTTTTTATGCGGGAGAAGAAGAGGGAGCTGATTGTTTGTCAGTAACGTCTGCTGTCCATCAGTTCATTTTCCATCCAAATGTTCTCTTCTCGTTGCGGTTGGCTGAGAGTTACTGCGCTCTCCGTCTCCACAGCAACAGCCCGCTCACCGCTCCTCCTCTGACTTGATTAAATCCTGATCATCTTGAGTCGTGATTGGTCGATGACATCCAGGAGGTTCTTGGCGTCGACGGCGAGGGCGTGAGCTGCCATTAGCATGTGTTTCTTGTAGTCCTTTTGTAAACTGTCCACAACACAGAAAACAAATAACGTCAGAATCACAAATACATTTAATTTAATGCCGTAAGGTAAATAATAAAACATATCCGGGGGATTTGAACCTACCTTGTCATGACATACTGTTGGGCCAGTTTCATCTTCGATATTAACTCGGCCAGATCTGAATTCAGCAACTTCTGAGCCATCTCAATCTGTGATAACGCAAAGAAAATATGTAGCTCATACACACATGAAAAGTTTCCAAAAGAAGAAGAAGAACACAAAAGAAACTTAGTGAATACCATGAAACCTCCATTAAAAGCAGAGTGTGTAGCTAGGTCTCAATTAGATGCCCAGTCTGGATTTTATAGAAGTTCTTTGATTGTTTAAAACCTTTTAAAACCCAACCGGTGGCCCGCAGGAGTGAGTAGGCTCAGATCGCCTACACGCAAATATAAATGTTTAAACTCTCAATGTGGACATGCTATACATCGTTAAATCTGTGAGATACAGTGCCCTCGTTTTTTAGTCCCTACACACCTTTTCTCTCCACAATTCAGAGGTTGTTTTTGCGTTTCTAACAATGTTGGAAAAGTGGAAGTCACGTGGAGTTTGCGTGTTTTTCTCCAAGGAACATGTAGTGTCTCAAATGGGATGAACATTTTCAGGGTTGCCACTCTTTTTAAGAAATCGTTTTGAGTTTTTCTTGACAATACAGGAAAGCACCTGCTCACAAACGTCATCATTTATGGGACACTGTTTTTGGCGGTTTTCCTCTAACCATAACATTAATTTGCCACAGAACAGGCTTATATACAATTAAAATGCTCCAAGAAAACATTGTTTTGCATATTTGGTTATTTTAATCAATTTCCAGGTGTTTCCATGACGGGAAAACTAGTCTATACATTTCCAGGTTTTCCAGGA